AAGAGGGCACTCTTGACCTGTGCCACAGAGCTAGCCAAAACTCTGCAAAAGGGTTTCAGTCTCAGGTTGCACAAGGCAGCCCTTCCAGGCAATCTCCAATCTCCACCTCCACCCAACGGACGTATACAAACACAAGTTCCATAGCTATTCAGTAGCCACCTGGCGAATAGCTCCTCTGTCTCCATGCATCCCCCTTTTGTGATACCTATGCCTATGTGGAAATGTTTTGTCTCAGCACCTGTCCTTCCTGGCCCCTCCTGCAGGATACCAAGATAAACTCATCAAACATTAATCTCATTAGCAATCCTTCCTGACCACAATCAGAGACCCATTTCCCACCTTTTATCTAAGCCAGGGAACCTATTCAACCTCCCCTAGCAGGACAATCAGTGGTCCATCAAGTTCTGGCCCGGGAGACTGCCCCCAGAATTCCTATAAAAATGCAGAGCATACCTCACCCTGGTGTGCACTCTGAGGGCACCTATTTTGAGTACACCCCCAAAGTCTCTTCTTTGGACCTCCTTCTCCGTAGCGTGGAACACTGGCTGTTTGTGCTATCCTCTTCATAGACTTCACATCGGGCAGGTAATATAACCCCCCATAACTCACCCTAAAACATCACTATCATAAATTGTGTGCTCTTTCTTGACTGCTTAGTGTGACTGTAATCAGGGAAATTATTTAATTAAAACTATTTGATTACTCTTTAAAACTGAAATCTTCCTACTGAACCAGACCTTGGCATATACAGGTGTGCGGTTCCTGGTACCCCTCTGCCCTACTCTGTCTCATAGCTAATTTCCCCCAACAATGAGGCAGGCCACTGGTGGTAATGGCTGGAGAGCAGGGAATGCAATGCAATAAGCTCCTGCATCCACCAGTGCATTTTGCTGATGGGCTGCTGGATCAAAACCTTCCTGTAGACACTAATGAATGCTGTTAATATGGGACAGAAAATGGCAGAGATTAAGTTCAATCAAATGTACATTTCAGCCAATGTGGGCAACTTATTTCCATTACAAATAAAGGCAAAGCAAAAAAAACCCACCTGAAGTGTCTGAAAATGTCCAGAGTTTAACTAGATTGGATTACAGTCAGCACTACAGATAAAAGAGACTCAGAAACCTTTAATTCAAAAATATCCAAACTCATGCCAAGCATCCATAAAAACATGTGTATTCAAAACAGTTTAACAGCTATTAGAATTTAAAAAGAATATCATCCTGATATAATAAACTCATTTTAAAAGCCTAGACACAGTCCTGCCAAAGCTAAGCACTTTTCAGACCCAGTAATTTCAGAGGAACAGTTAAGTACATGCTTAAAATCTCATAACTGAAATAAATGAGACATTAATTGCTTAGCCTAGACTAGATCAGGCACCATTTCTTTGTATGCCACTTAATCTGATAATCCATTACTCTGGAGGTTCAGCTTCCTTTGCTTCTTCTTCCTTTTCTTCTGTACTAGCAACAGCTGTGGAGGAAAAAATGAAATGAGGAAAAAAATGATAGGACAGAATTTAAAAATAATATCTGCTCATAAAGGCATTATAACCAAATTTAGATGAGGACGAAAGGAGCAAGAGGAAAAAGAATTCACTGAGGCATTTATATTTTCAGGAAAAATCCTGAATGGATACATAATCTTTGGGAGAACATAATCTTACTGGAGGCAGCACAAACAGGACAGTGAAAATCTAAAGAAAAAACAGAGATTTGGAAACAAGAGTATGAAGACCACTGCAGGTACAACCTGGAAAGAAGCTCAAAAAGTCAAGGATAAGAGCAAACAGATGAATGTTTTTACAGTAGAAATGCACTTTTGCCCTGGAAAACTGGAAACTTTGTACTACGCTATGTACTAACACTATATTACTGCAACATAGAGTCTACTCACAACACTCACCTCAAGAGACAACATAGCTCTGCCTGTCCAGATGAAAGATTCACAGTCCATCCATGAGCTTGGCTGAAATATTTGTTTTAGGCTGTATACATGGAGGACTATAGCCAATTCCCCCACACACACCTCATCCCCCTATTGCAACCTAACAACCTGACTACTCACTTCCTTTTGCCTCTTCTCCTGCCCTGGGAAAAGTCTGCAAGATGGTGCTGGCATCCTGAAGAAGTTGGTTAAGTCACCAGAATGGCACTATCTTGAATAAGATGGCACTGCCTTAGAAAAACATCACTGGCCATTCTTGGATACCAGTGCTATCTTTGGGACTCTTCCCAAGATGGAAGCAAAAGAAAGAGGAGGTGGCATCTTTGGCAGCAGTGGCCATTGATGGGAGGAAAGGAAGGCAGCAGAAAGAGGAGGGGCAGGTTAGGAATGCTAATTGGGAAAGGTAGACTTTCACCTCTTTCCTCAAGCAGCAAAGAGGCTCAAGTTGCCTCCTGAAGCATGAAACAAGCAGCCCAGAAGCAATGAGGAAACCCAGAGAGCAACTGTGGGTGTCTTCTTCATTGCAGAGACCCTGTTCCTCACAATAGCCATACAAGTGAGCTCATAAAAGGGGAGAGCAGCCATGAAGCACACAGCACAGAATCCAGTGGTGGCCTCTGCCTTTGGGAGAAGACAGGGGTCAGCACATAGACTGATCTTTGAAAGACTCATAGGTGGATGACATTTGCAGCCAAAGACTGTATCATGTGTCTGGTATGAATGGAGCCTATTGGTCATCTATTAAAGTGACCAACCTTTTTTGCACATTCTCTTTCTCTCTCTCTCACCCTGATCTCCTTGGTCTTCTTTATCCTCATCTTCCTCAGGCTCTTTAGATGGTGATGTAATTTCAGTGGGCTCAGGTACCTCTGGAGGTACATCAGCAGTATCAGCAGGAGTTTCCAAAGGAGTCTCACCAACTGAAATGGGGGAAAAGAAAACTGTAGGATGAGCCAAAACAATACATGCTTCTTCATGATTATTATATCTGGACACAGATCTCTCCTTCAAATCAGGAATTTCCTACACCTCCCTCTTTTGTAGTTATTCCAATGTACAGAAACCAGCAATCTGAAATTGAAGCTTGCCACATAGAGCAATTACAACTCTTCTCCCCCAGGTTCTTGAGTATAATAAAGTGAAATTTGTAGTGGAAGGTTTTCCCATTGTCTCACCAGTATATGCTCTTTTAAGTCTAATGAGGCTAGATCTACCATTACAAAATAACAAAACCATGTAATGCCTTTTATTAGGATGAACCAAAATGACACAAAACATTCAGTTTTAAAGATTTCATGTGTTATAGATTTCATGTAGGTCGTCATTTGGCCACCAAATGAGAAGGGAGCACTCACTGGAGAAGACCCTGATGCTGGAAAAGATTGAAGGTCAAAGACGAAGGGGACGGCAAAGGATGAGATGGTTAGACAGTGTTATCGAGGTAATGAACATGAAATTAAGCAAACTCCAGAGCATGACAGAAGACAGGAGGGCCTGGCGTGATGTGGTCCATGGGGTCGCAAAGAGTCGGACTCGACTGTGCGACTGAACAACAACAACAGGTCGTCACAGCTGGTTACAACTTTAAGGTTTACCAGTGACATTTTCTCCACAGGCTAAGCATGTCTATGGTATATCTTCTCTTTGGATTTTGTCACATATGGTGATTTCTAACCAAAGCTTTCCCACTGTCTAAGCATTTACATGGTATTTACTTGTATGAGACTGTTATTTGATATACTGTAAGTCTGGAGATGAAATCTTTTCTTACAGGTTCAAAATGTATGTCGTTTCTCTCTTGTATGGATTCTGTTTGTGTAATGAGATTTGAAGTATCCATTACTATTTTCCCACAATCTCGACATTTTGTTCAGTTTCTCTCTGTATGTGTAGTCGTCAGTTCAATAAGTTTTGATAATCTGTGGCTGAAGACTCCCACCCTTCAGTTGAAGTATGTATTTCATTTCTCTCTTGAATGTATGTTCTGGTGGCTGATAAAGTTGGATTTTCAATTTAAGAATTTCCCACAAATCCAAACATATGATAGTTTTAAAGGACATGACATTGTTTGGAATATAAGTCTCCTATATTTTTATCATGCTCAACAAATGTTTTTGCAAAACTTCTCCCATAGTCTGAGAATTTATCCCCCACCCCCTTTTAAAAATGTCTTCTTTTAAAATGTTTTGTTTATCTACCATTCCCCATCAGTGCCCTAATATCTCTCTATAGATCCCCTTTTGGACTCAAATTTTGATTAGCCATATGGCTATCTCCACAAAGAACAGGATTAGATTGTCTACGGGGGAGGAAAAAGAATAACCAATACATGCCTGGTACTCTGCGTTCTTGCTACAGTAACACATTGCAAAACCTTGCCTACTCCATACAGGAGACTAATGGAAAGGATTACAACAGAGCCTGAAGGATTGCTTCTGTGGGAAAGCACAAACCTGAAATCTCTAGTTCTTCAGGTATAAGAGCCTCTTCAGTAGCTACAGGGGCTGTTTGTGCAGGAGGTGGTTCTTCAGGTGCCCAGAGTGTTAAGGCAGTAATTTTTGTTGCTTTCCACTTTGGAACAATTGGTGTTAAAGCCTCTTCTTCCTCCTCTTCTTCTCCTTTGTCCTACACAGCAGATAAATATCCAGTGTAATGATTTGAATAGAACAAAAATGACTACGCCTGCATTATGCCTCAGTAGTTCACACAGTCACAGACACCCCAAGCTGCCTTGCAGCCCGCAGAAATACACAGGCCTATGCCAAAACAGCAGTTTTTACACAGAGACTAGCTCTATTGTTTTTGTAACCTCAGAGTAATACAGATCTTTCATCCCTTCCAAAAGCATTCATCACAAATGCAATATCTGCAGTTATTTATATAAAAAGAATCAAGATATGAACCAACAATGCAATCCGCTATAGAGAAAAATTAAGGACCAACTGGGTGATGTCTGTTCTAGACAAAGGCAGGGGTTATGTGTCAGGAAAAAGAGGAAAAGGAGGAAGAGGAGGAAGAAGAGGAGGAGGAGGAGGAGGAGGAGGAGGAGG